GGAGCGCAAAGTATACATTTGCAAATTGGCTGGTGAGGCACTGCTTTGCAATGTAGGTGGGATGTATTTCATACTCCGGCAGTCGAGCTCTGCTCTGTTTCCCTCCTCCCTCTCCCTCCGCGCAGGACAGCTGCCTGAGCCCGGGATCGTGGTGCGGCTCTCGCAGCCGCAGGAAGGCGTCTCAGCCCGCTCCGGTGCACACGGCGTGTGGATGGCTCCAGCCCCGCTCGTGACAGAAGATGGATGATCTAGCTCTCCTCGACCTGCTGGAGTGTCCTGTGTGCTTTGAAAAGCTCGACGCCACAGCCAAGGTGCTGCCCTGCCAGCACACCTTCTGCAAGCCCTGTCTGCAGAGGATCCTGAAATCCCAGAAGGAGCTCAGGTGCCCCGAGTGCAGGACCCTGGTGCTCTGCAGCATCGAGCAGCTGCCCTCCAACCTGTTCCTCATTCGCCTGCTGGATGGAGTCAGGTGTGGACAAAACGCTGCCAGGTTTGGCTCGATCCAGAGGTCAGGGGTCCTGTCGTCCCCCGCCTCCATCAGGAGAGGCCCCCGGGCGCTGCCGCTCCACCAGCACCGGCTGGCGACAAACCCCAGGATCCACATGGACGGGGTAAGGAGGGGCCACGTTCTTTACTCTGTCCGGGAGCATAGAGAGCTTTATTCTTGTGTGCCAAGAGCTGCGAAACTTTCCTGTTAGGAGTATTGCAGAAATGTTTGAAGTAAGAGAGATCGTTTTGTTTGCAAATCTGGCTGCTGTTTCCTTGTGGTATTTGACTGTTTTGAGTTCATCCCAGCAGTAATTGCACTGACTCTCAGGCTGAGACAAACCCAGCTTGCTCATCTCCTTACAAAAACTTCACAGCAGCTCTTTTCCCCGGGAGTTTTCAGGTGCTTCCTGACTTGGGGGGGGGGGGGGGGGGGTATTTCAGGCGCTTCAACTTTCAGGCAATATACTGATTTTTGACCAATAGCAATTAAATCAGTAATTGCAAAGCTGTAACTGTTAGAGGTGGAGGAAGGTATTTTCCATCACTGCACCTCAGTTTCCGCAGCCGTTGAAAAGAAAGGAGAGCGCCTAAGGATGGTCATGTCCCTGGGAAAATACTTTGACGTTTGCTAATCAAAAATATTAAACTTGACTTACTAACTTTGTCTAGGGATGTTTTACTAGGCTAATTTTAAAATTCTAGGTTGTTTCTGTCCTTTTCTTGTACAGTACAAAAGCTTTTCTGTAGTAGTGAGAACATGGTATGAGACCTGCTAAAGGAGCTTGGCTCGGAGTTTGGGGTAGAGACTGATGATGGCTTCGCTTGTCCTGCGTTACATTCCTGGCTTGCCATTTCTCCCACCTGAACTGTTCTTCTGCACAATGTCTCTACAAAGCTTCTCGTAACGTTCAAAAGCTTGGCTCAAACAGCTGTTAAACCTCAGCGCGTTTTCCGGAGTCGCAGAGCGATCAGCCTCCAGGCAGCCGAGGGACAGGGCGTCTCGCCCGTGCGCGGTAGCGGTGCGTCCGCGCGGGTGCCGCTGCGGAGGAACCCCTGTGTCCTGCGGGCACGAGCCGCTGCGCGTCTCCCAGGGAATCTCTGTGGGGTCGATAGGGAACCCCGACACACCAAAGCCAGGCGTCTCTCGGGAGCTCCTCTCTCAGATTTCCCTCCGGGAAGTGCAGCAGCGTGGCCCTGACACCCACGAACTGGGTCCCCTTCCCCGGAGCTGGTCGCGCAGCGAGCGTGCCCGCGCACAGGTAGTGCCTGCGCCGGGCGGGCGAAGCGAGAA